ATAATATAAGAATCCGACTATTTCAAATATATGTGTATATATGTAAAGAATATAATCTATCTTCAAGGTATTTCGGCTTCGACCTCTTGCTATCTCCATCTACTCAAGGATGACGGCTAAATGAAAGGCGGAGACATCGAACCTCGACTCGTGCCTGCTTGATAACCCGGTAACTCAGAAACAGCCCTTAAAAATAAACCACTACCTGGACCTAAACCCGACATCCCACTGAGCATCGACTTTGTTTTGGGCTGCCCGAGCCGAATGCACGATCTCACTGATGTTGTGACCTGGCGGACCGTCCAGGCACACAGACACGCTACGACAAAGCACAGCTCAGCTGAGTGACATGTGACATGTGCACAATGTAATCGGCACCTGCTCAATGCTCTGCCATCATTTTCATCGGTCCGCGCAGGATCTGAACCACGTGTGTGTGTGTGTGCCCACTTGGACTTTCCTCTTCTGCCCCAAGCCTACTGCAATCCTGCGTGCGCAAGATTATGATCCTTATGTTGCTGAACCTTCGGAGCTTGGGACGACATCTACTTGAAATTGTTTGCGTTGCACACGAGGCTGCGAAGATTGACACTGTGGTGCGATGCTCGATTCTCCGAATCGACCAAGAAGGTCGCTTTTGGACCTTTGCCCCTGCCCCTGACCCCTCAAACCTCGAAAGGAAAAAAACGACTCAACCGCTCAAGCCATCACCGAGCAGGCTCCTTGATGCCTGCAGATTCCGGTTTCGGATTTGCAGCCGCGTCAGCCGCAGGTTCCGGTTTCGGATTCGCAGCCGTCTCAGCCGCACATTCCGGCTTCGGATTCTCAGCCTTCTCAGCCAAAGTCACAGCCTTGACAAGGGACTCCACAAGTGCGTGCTCCTGCTTCAAGAGCTGCTTCTGGCCATCTGGGAGCTGGGAAGTCTCCATCTGATGGGCGATCTCATCACGCCGCCTCGCAAAGGTCATGGCAACATTGGCATGGCCCGCGGCATTCACGACAAGCGGAAGTCGCAACCCAATGTTGCAAGCTCGAGCAAGCTCCGCAACCACCGCTCCGGCAAGCAGATAGAGCATATCGCCAGGACCCACAGTTGCCTGCTGAAGCGTGCACTGTGCCTTGAAATCCGCGATCGTCGTGGCACTCAGGCTCCTGAAGAAGCTTGCCATCCTGGAAACACTGATGTTGCCGGACACGCCTTTGCGCTGCATGTAGCCGATGACCTCAAGCGTGTGGGCCACAACCACGCTACGGGGTCCACTCACGTTGAACCTGGCACATGCCATCGATGCACTTTCGCAAGACACCTTGTCATAGCTCTGGTCCAGGCCGAAAGCCGACACCGCCATGACTTCCTGGATGTCTTTGCTGAGCTTGCTGGTCTCAACCAATCCGCTAACATGCTTCAGCAGAGCATAGACCTTGGCTTCAAAGTCAACCTCTGCCTCCTTGTCTGAAAGGAGGTCCTTCATCAGTTGGATGCCCGGCTACCTTTCTGCTGGGCACGCAGTGTGTCAAACATGACCTTGAAGGCATCAACCTTTTGCCTCGTGACGCTCAACCCGCTCGTCGATATGCACAATGAAAGGCTTGGACAGGTCTGGCGCATTGTCTCCTTGGCCGAGAGCATCAGCCTTGAAGACAGGGATGGCGGAGGCATTTGCAACTCCTTGGTCTAAGATTGCAAGGCCTTGCGATGCGTTTGCCGCCAACGCCTTCTGAGCCTTCGCTTGTTTCTGTTCTGCCTGCTTCTTGGCCTTGTCGAGCGCAACCTTCAAAGATTTCTCTGCACGAAGGGCACCCGCGAGCAGCTGAGAGATGGGCTCCCGAACGGCAGCCAGAGCTGCACTCACTTCCTGTCAAATCAATCACGAAACTTACTGCAACGCACATCCACCGCAAGGTCAACTTCAAACGCACGTCTAGATGAAAATACAGCCAAGACACAAATGTTTTACAGCCGATTGAACTCTCAATACACAAACACTTCAACGAATCGAAAACAAGAGATTGACCGAGCAGATCAACCCAGCCTTCAAGTGCTCTTGCTCTGTGCACTTGTTGTACTCTTCAACCATGGCCGGGAAAACACACAAAGGGCGGAGCTTGTCATAGTCCTCGCAAGGCGGAGCTGGGGAGTCGACGTGCCCAAACAACCCAATGAATTGCTTGACCTTCTCCTCGCCCCTGTTGCGCAAGCAGAGCTCGAGTCCCTGGACCCTCGTCTTCAACGTCTCGTACTCGCCTTTGAAGTCCCCTTTGCTTTCAGCCTCATGCTCACTGAGGAACGCTTTCAAGTATGCCTGCTGCCTGTCGAGCTGAACCATGGCTTTGGTCTCGAAGGTTTCGTGCTGGCTCTTGACGGTGCGGATGGTCTGGGAGACGACCCGGTCCCGGTCAATCCACAACCTGGGCTTTTTCGGAGAAGGCTCGTCCGTGGTTGTCGAGTTTTTGTCCTGCTCGCCGTCCGCCTCACCAGCCTCCAGCATGAACACATCATTCTGGAGATCCAACACGTTGAGGAAGCCGGTGGCGCCCTCCTGAAATGCATCCTGTCCATTCAACGCCATGGCCTTGGCAGCCTGCTCCATGCCAGCGCCAGCGCCAACACCCTGGCCGTGGCCTGACATGATTTCGCTGCGAAGTCTGGCAACGTCTTCGTCAGTTCCTTTTTTGATGGAGCCCCCTTCACAGGCCACCTCCTTGGTGTGAAAGTACTCGCTGCGGAAGGACAAGGTGTCATTTGTGGCTACCCAGACCCTCAAGCTTCCTCCACAACCCTTGTAGTCGTACAGGGTCTGCTGCATGGAGCCCTTCTCGACATCCTTACCCCACTTCCTGAGACAGACAAAAAAGCGACACAGTCAACTTCACGCAGGTTTGACCGACTGTACAAAAAAATGATCGGTGCTTCCTAGGTCCTAGGAAGCACCTACTCGAAGCTGCTTCCGCTAAACCTGATAGTCAGCTATCGACTGTTGGGCAGTAAAAAGAGTCAGCTGTCCGAGCGAATTGCTCCAAGATAAAACTCTTGCTTTACTTGCTACGACTCGTGGTGGTGTAGCTGGAATGTGGTGAGGTGGTGGGTAGATTGCGCTAGCTAGTGACTAGTGTACAACAAGAACACCCTCGATGCTTGACTAATCGAAACGATCCAATAAGGTTTGTGACGAAGTTGCAATGATATTGACAAACCGCTCTCAATGACTGTCAATCAATGAGAATTCGCCAGTGAAACGGTCAATCAAAGCCGAGATTCTCCCACTGGGCCTCCATTTCAGCAGCGCTTTTCCGTCCACCACGAGCCGTCAATGCAAACTCTTGGTAGACCATCTTCGACATGAACTCGCCTATGCTGTCTTTCACAAGCCCACTGCCTGCCCGGACTGACTCCATGCTCTTGACGACGCACCGCTTTCCGCGGCGCCGTCCGGCCGTCGTCCCGTCGGGAAGCTTTTCCGGACAGTTCTTCATGTAAGATTGGACTAAGCGATAGCAGGCTTCGTCGTCTCGCCTGCATTCCTGCACGAACTCGCATGCCTGTTCTCCCTGGCGACAGGCACACTTCCAAACATTGTCTAACGCCCGTTTGCAGCCCCAGCAGCCAGGGAAGTTTGGGGCCTGCTGGTCCGAGAGGGTCTTCTTTTTGCACCCCCTGCATTTGACGGGCCCCTTGATGATCTTCGGCTTCTTGATCACTCCCAGCTTGCCTTTGCCCTTGCTGTTGTCCTTCTCACCTCCGCCCTTGCCCTTGCCGCCACCTTTGCGAAGACGTGTGCCCGATGCTTGGGCGGTCTCTTCAACCTTAGCCTTAGCCTCCTCCTGGCCCAGCTCAGGAAGCTGGAACTGCTTCCAATCTTCATCGATTGAATCTGCAGCCAGAGAAGCGGCCTCTGCCATGCAATGAAGAGCGAAGCACTTCGGATGGACCTCCGCAGCACCCTTGCTGATGGATCAAGCTCACCCACAGCAGGGCCACACTTATCATAAACATGTCGCACTCACAAAGGCAGCTCACACTACGCACGCTTGTCAGATAATCTCGTCTCAGTCTGGGCACGAGCACGAAGCGACATGCAAACTCACACAACTTTCTTGCTGCGAAGCACGTGCCCCTGCGAACTTCACGGTCTCTGCACTGCACAAAGAAAGATAGCACAATCCTACGACACTGGGCGGCCCTGCCCTGCTCAGATCAACTTGCGAAACACGAGCGTGCAAAATGCAATCATCGATGCTTCGTGAGGGTTAGGCAGGCTGCAAGAAAGAGGCCTGCCACGCGGCAATGGAAGGAGTTCCCAACCATTTTGGTCAGGGCGCGAGCATGGGTCTGCTCGAACTAGGTCTGCAGGAAGGGGAACTCTGCATGGAAATTGTCGTTGTCCAAAACCACCGGAGCTGGCCATCCCATTGCAAAGAACAGCTCCAGCGTGGTCAGCGGTCGGTTGTGTTTCATGCTCCACACACAGGACCCTGTCAGCAAAGAAGGCAACATAGTCGACAAGGTCGCCCTAACACTAACATTCTGGGAAAGGTCTACGACGGGCAGCTCCACGACCTTGCCTTCTGCGAGCTGCTTCGAGTAGAAGGTCTCATACTCCGCGAGCCGCCGCAGACAGCCCTCGGACAAGTAATTCCGAAAGCCCACCTCGCCGTGCAAAAGCTTCTCCGTGGTGGCCTGCAAATACTCATGAGCTGCATCCTCGGCAAAGATGAAGAAGTCGTGCCCATTACACCGCAGCTCGCTGCCGCAGAGCTGCAAGAACAGGCTTGACGTTAAGCTGGTGACCATGCTCAGTCTGCGTAGCCGATCGGTGCAGGAGAAGTTGCGAGGCCGGTTCATGGGGATCCCCAAGTCTTTGGGGGAAACGCTGTTTGCATGGCCTCGGAAGTAGCTGCACTCCTGCATGACCATGTCACAATGCCCAGCACACCATGCGAGCCACACGGCGGCAACGACAGCAGAATCGTGCAGCCACTTCGCCTGCTTCCCCTGCGGGGAGAAACTTACGCACGTGTTGCCTCCTGCCTTTGGCAGGAGGCTATCAGCGTCTTCGTCCAGCCCTGGCGGCAAAAGAGGGCAGAGTTGGTCATGAACATAGCAATAGCAACATCTGCTTGCTCCGCCGCGATCTGCAGCAACTGCCTCCATTGCCAACTCCAAAAGCTTCTGCATACAACGGACATTCAGTTTCCCAAGCTCAACTTTCTTCTGAGCAGGGGTTTGCTTCGTGGCGGCAAGCTCGTGCGCCCTCTGCTGAAGGCATCCCACTGCATGCTTCATTCTTGCCAGGACCTTGGAGTCCACTCGCTCCGTCAAGTCACCAAAGACGTGCTCAGGACAACCTGAACTCTGGAGCAGCATGTCTCGAACAGCCTTGTCGCACTCACTTGCAGACCAGAACTTCACACCAGTGTTCTCCACAGCTCCAGCGCAAGCCGCTGCCAAGCGCTTCATGCAATGCTCAAATGTTCCCATCCCACTGCAGCTCGAGCTTACGTAGATCGTCTTGCGACCAGCAAAGTGCTCAGCCAGATGACTGGGCGGGTGGCCTGCTGCCAAAGCAGCATCTTGCAGGCCTCCCGTTGCATATGCTGGCCAATCAACGAGATTCTTGACATTGTCTACACCGGCACCAGGCACACGACTGAAGACCTCCGTGTCAAGACGTCGGATTTTGCTGGCAGGTCCACAGCCCGCCATCCTTCGACACAAACCTGGTCCCGCACGCCAGGCTGGCTACAAGTACTCTAAAGCCAGAAGGCACAGCACACCATCGCGTTTCACAACTCACCGTCTGCACAACATGCTGCATCTTGCACGGATACCGGCATGCACGTGTCTGCTCTGTCTGCAACTTTCTGCAGCAGCATTAGTAGGAACTTGCACAGCCCAACAACAAGAGCCAGGCAGGCCTTACCGGATTCCAGGCCAGGATGTCTCGGCTCCGACCTCCCAGGACAGCGCTACTTTGGGGATTTTGCTGGACAGCGGGACACCAAGACTGAAAGTCGCAACTCAGGTTTTGCAGACACACACACACACACACGCACTGCTAGGCTTCCACAAGCCTGTTCAAACGAGGGGCTGCGGGGCCTCAGAAACCTCATTCTTGTGGTGGCAGCATGCACAGCTCCCCAGCCTGAAAATTTTGAGAGGCCCAGACCCTCGAAATAGTCTAGGCGGCACCAAAGCCCGATAATATTCAAACCCGAACTAGTTTAACCCAAAAACGCCCCAAACCCTAAACCCGAACTATGTTAACCCAAAAACATCCAAAAACGCCCCAAACCCTAAACCCTAACCCTAAACCGCTGAAGAGTCGCGGGGAAGTCACGGCAGGTCGCTGGGGGTCGCGGGGACTCGCGTTGGGTCGCGGGCACAAGAATCACCTCCCTGGCGTGGGTCTACACACATGTTTCTGGTCGCGCAGGGGTCGCGGGACGTCGCGGGGCCTCCCACCAGGCTTGGGGACAAAAGGTCGCGCAGAGGTCGCGCAAGGTCGCGCGGGGTCGCGGGGGGTGGTCGCGGGGGGTCGCGCGGGGAGTGGCGCGGGGCCGCGGCATTCCCTGTATGCACAAATCGGGGCCCTCCGCCGCAGCCTTGTAAGTCTGGATCCCACTGTCGCATCAATCTCCTGAGTCTGCCAGATTTCTCAACGACTTGCGAAACCCGCACTTACAATCTTGCTGCAACGCTACTCGACGGAGACACAATCTACAATCAGGCTTAACCGCCGAATGGCAGCCACACAGGCCTGCCTTGGATCCCGCTCTGCAGCTGCAGCTGTCCTGAACAGATGCACAAGCATGCCCCCAGCCCTTCCACACCCCTACAGCTACTTGTTGCGTCTACACAGCACTCTCCCCAGACCGGCCCAACCACATGCTACACTGAACACACACACACACACGCCGGTACACGAGATGACAGCAGCCGCAATGTAACATTTTACAACAGCAGCTCTGCAATCGCACACTCAAAGGTTCATGCGTCTTGGTGGCATGCTGGCTAAAAGCGCGGCTTCGTGCCAGGCCTCTGCAGCAGTCTCCAGAATGACATCCGCAGTAGGTCCTCCTGCCACAAGATTGCAATGAGAACGCCGCTAACCATTAGCATTGTGCCAGCATCTATAGCAATATATTCATATCATGGAACAACATGAGCAAAAGCCCGCTGGAACAGCTTTGCAGACACGACAACGACCTCCAAAACGAGAGGGCCTCCCCTTTCCATGACCTGCCCATATCAGTCCTCAGTCTGATGATGACGAGGAACTTGAGCTCGAAGACGAACTGCCGTTGCTTCTGCTGCTGCTGCTCGGAGGGTCAGACGCGGCCTCGCCCGAAGGAGGCTCTGGTTCACGCGACGATCGGGCAGCACTAGCTTTGGCACCAGCCTTTCTTCGGGGCTGATTCTTGGGCTTTGGCTTCGACTTCGGATGGTTGGATGCTTTGGCTTTGGGAACCCCAGATGCAGCAGCATCTAGCTCCTGGTCTGTGCGCACAACCTCGAAGGGATCATCAAGGAGCTGCTGTGCTTGAATGACCGCAGAGCTCGGAATGTCACCAGGCTGCAGAGGCATCTTCACATGCTTGCGTTGGCGGTCGAACCGCCGTGCTTGGTTGCACCAATGCCGGAGGATCTGGAGAGTGCGCTCCTGATGCTCTGCCC